TATCTACTTTTAACCGGATTATTCGTCCAGAATTGCTGTGCGTTGCTGACCTACAGCAGACAAGAGCTTCTGGACATCTGGACTCACAACTCCAACAGTTTTATCGCCGATCTCCGACTCATCCCAGAGATCTCCAGAACACCGGAGGCTGCCCACTCTCCCCGGCCGGGCGGAAGTGCACGCAGACGGCGCCGAGATCGTAAACAAAGGCGAGGTAGGCGCGGAGGGCTACGGGCTAAGCTAAAGCTAACACCACATAAAAACCGCTAAATAGCAGATTCTGGAGAGACACTGAGCCTCGCGTTGTTCACGCGCCGCCATCTTGGAAAGGTTGAAGCCTTCTCACTTCACGCTCATATAGCAACTCAATAGGTGAAAAGCCAGTGAACTCCTGTGGAATATACCTATATGCAAAGACAAAGTCAGCACTTTTTCTGCTTTAGGGTCTGACATGGAGTAGAGGGTTTGGTTGTGGTGTTGGAAGAAAGGTTGGTGTAGCTGGCAGCAATCATCTAATCCTCCTATTTCAGTAGGGCGCTGAGACCTGCAGGGGAAGAACGGACAGTGAAGCTGTGCTGCAGTAACGTGTGTGGAGACGACAGAGAGTGGCTGGAAAGATGCCCTGTGGGAGAAACTGCACTGTAAATAAAGAGAACACATCAAGCAAACCAAGAAAATCAACCAGTCCCAGCTACAAGGAGGCCTCCTGACCCCCTCCGATAAGGCCTACTAACCCATTCTTTCCTGTCTTCTTTTCCTGTGACTTTCATGTTTAAGGTGCAGGTGACCGGGGCACTTCATTTCGCCGGCCCCGTAACACTATCCTGGGAGGGATGTAAGGTGTTCCAGTAAGGTGCCAAGGGGGTATGCACCAGGCTTTGGTGGACTTGGGCTGCAACAAAAACCCTGGTTCAGCCAGGGTCAGTGGTGCAGGCAAAGTGGGTGGAGGTTAGATGTGTGCATGGGGATGTTCATAAATATCTTGTAGTGCCATTAGACATTAAGTAAATGGGCAAAACACGTTGATTAGCTTATGCCTGATACACCCCTTCATTTTGGGAACAGATTGGCCTGGGTTGCAGCCAGGATGCAATGGCCGTCGTTTTCTCTCCCTGTGGGCGCACCTGCCAAGGTAATCCAGATACTCTACCTCCCTCTGTTCAACTGCACACTTTTTTGGGTTGGCTGTGAGTCCTGACAGCCTCAGGGACTGCACGGACCGTGGCCACCTGCTTTGCCCAAATGTCACCGTGGATGATGACATCATCCAGGTAAGTGGCAGCATGTGTAGCATGTGGCTGCAGCACCCGGTCCATGAGGCACTGGAAAGTGGTGGGGACCCCTGTGGAACCTTACCAATATGCTGTATGTCTCTCTAAGAACAGGAGACAGCATCATAGGGCCAACCACACACAACAGCGGTTCCGCTTTCGGCGAAGGTGCCCTAGCCACTTGCACCTCCAGCACTCCTGCCCCAACACTCATGCAGCTCCTGGTGAGTGGGATGCAGGACCTGTAGCCGCCGGGACCTGCAGAGAGATCGCAGTGGAAAATGAAATCAATGCCAATATGCCCTGCTCCTCCGCCACTGACCAGGATGGAGACATGCCACAGAGCGTCCTCCTCTGGGCCATGACTGGTTGGCTTCCCACCGCCAGTTGCAAGCGTTCTCATGGAGTTCCTGGCCCCACTGCCAGCTTATTCTCTGCCAGGATCAACAAAACCCCTCCAGGACCACCATGTTCACCAACCATTCTGTGTGGCAGCAGACTGCAACATCCTGGCTGCCATGTCACTCCCATCCATCATGAAAGAACCACAAAGTGTTCATGCCACTTGGCGAGTGACTTTGAGCTTGAAGAAGGGAGTAATACAGGCACTTTGGCCCCTGGTGAAAATTGCCCGAGTCTAGTCTCTCTGTTGTATAGGCACTGTTGACGTTCCCGGGCCTAGAGCTAATTTTCCTGTGACAATCTGTGTGCAGCTTTGGGCTCAGGTCCAGGACATACCGAATCTTGTTTTTAGCTGGGCCTGGACGGTCCTCTCAGTGTTCTTTAATCAGGTCCAACAACCCCGCGACTTCCTGCCGAACAGCAAGTGAAAGGGGGAAAACTGTTGTAAGTGCGGAGTGCCTCCCGCACTGCAAACAACAGAGGGTCCAACCAGTGATCCCAATTGCATTTATCCCTGTGAATGAAATTATGAATCATGGAGTTTAAAGTCTTATTGAGCTGCTCCATCAACCCTTCAATTTGGGGTGGTAGATGCTTGTCTGGTCCCCATCTGTGCTGGCGCTTGCTCTCTGCCATCTCTGCAAGCATTTGGGGGAGCAGTTGGAGCGGCTGTGTGTGTTGCAAGTCTGATATGGCGAGCCTGGGTTTCGGCACCAATGTAAACCTTCAGAACATCTGGGCCTTTCATCAAGATGCTGTTCAAACTAACACCTCTGTACACTTGGCTGCTATCCCAAACGAGCCTCACCGGCGTGCTGTTGGAGTGCGGGTTGGGCGCCATCAAATGGTTTATCCACCACACGGCTCCTTTCCACTCGTCCAACACCGTCTGGGAAAGCTGGATAGCGGCCCCCCTAGCCAGCATGTCACACACCTGCTTAGCATAAGCTGCCTTCCATAGCGGATCTTTCTCGAGGCGCTTTTCTGACTTCAGGAAAGTCGCCTCCACAGCTTTGCGGTTGTTAGGCAGGGTCGCAGGGTCCTCTTTCCAGGGATATTTAGCATCCCAATGGGGCTTGTCACTATGATTGTCACTCAGCTTGAAGGTTAGACCTCCTCTGATGATCTCCAACTCTCTTTCATCAGCAAGTGACATTTCCTTCCCTCCAGGGGCGCACTTCCCGCAGCGGCACCCGCCACACATGGGATCACAGGCGGCACCAATACTGTCCCACTGCAGCCATTTGATGATCTCAGTGTTGGATGTAGCCGTGGTACCGACCTCTATGCTGTTCTTTGGTTTTGGGCAGCAGTTAAGGAGGGACACAACTCTCTGAGACTCCGCCCTCATGGAGCACGCAAAATGGGTTGATGAGAGACGTGCAGTCACCTCCACATCCTCAAACAGATCTGGGTGTGCGCCACTGATGGTTTTCCCCAACGGACCATCCCACAGAACCAAGTCACCGCACCTCATCATTCTCTGGGGGGCTAGACGACCCTCCCGGGTGCTGATGAGTAGCTCAATCTTTTCCGGGCGGATCAGTTCCCCCGGTTCGACGGAGCCTGGGAAAAACTTCTCCAGGCGCCCAGAGTCCACGACGTGACCCACATTGGCAATCTCTTCTAATCCATAGCAAACCATCTCATGGAGTCGCCATGTTCCCTTCTTTGTGGCTACTTTTATGCTCACCAGGTATCTCTTTGTCTCTACTTTTGCCTCCATACCACCAACACCATGAACAACTAAGGTGATTGGTTCACCAGGCAGACCAAGCCTTTCCGCTGCCTCGTGGGTGATGTAATTCGTGTCAGAGGCTAAATCGATGAGTGCTCCAATCCAGTCTCCCCTCTTGGTGGTGACGTCCAACAACATCATGAGGACCGGGAGCTCCTTCAGACAACTCTCATCTTCCGAGCCTCTGCCAGCCCACAACTTTGACGTTACTTTGTTTGTGCAAGCCCTTCGAACAGCTTCCAGCTGCTCCGGGGACAGACCTAGGCCAGCAAACACAGCCTCTTGCTCTTCCGTCGGGCCTCGGGGTTCCCTCCTTTTATCCGCTTTGGTCCCCTGCCTAGCTGCATCTTTCCTAGTTGGAGTTTTAAGGCATAGGAAGAAATGGTGATCCGATGGGGCGTCACCCCTTCTGCATCCCTCATTACGACACAGAAAGTTTTTACTACACGGGTCATCACTCCCATGAGAGTCCAGACACCTGGGACATACTTTTGTCTTTTTCACGTAAGCTCTCCGCTCTGATGAGTTGGCCTTTTTAAATGTCTTACAGCGGTATAAACGCCCTGCGTGACCGTCTTCGCCACACAAACAGCAAGGATTCTGTGACAGCTCACCTCTCGTCTCGCTCGCAGTAGCCTTGGTGAACGAACGTCTCTCCATCCTCCGATCAGGTCTCTCTTTTGGTTTCTCGTGGGGGCTCGGATCAGTTGCCCTGGCAGTATTAGACTGTCTGATGGATTGCAACTGCTCCAGTTGCACCAGAACTGTCTTCTGATCTTTCAGGAACTGCCATAGCTTATCAAACCGGTTCTGTGGACTGACACCATTGACAGGATCACATCGGTACAAAAGCCACCTTTCTTTCATACTGTCCGGCAGCTTACTCTCAAGTGACCGGATCACCAACTGATTTTTTATGGCATCTTCACAACCTAGGTCTATTAAGTCCAACAGCGCCCTCTCTACAGCTTGGATCAACTGCAAAACCTCTCTGGGTTTGTTGTTGCGCACGCCCGGTAACTCCTGTAGTTCAAGTACAATGTCATCTGCTATCTGTGATACGTCACCATAACAGTCCTCTAGAACTCGGAAAACCTCACTCGCAGTGCGGCAGTGAGACAGCCTAAGTTCACATTTTACTGGATCAGCAATACTGTCCATCAGGTGGAAGAGCCTGCACTCCGGGGAACCTGTGGGTTCCGCTAATGCTTGGAGGGTCCCCCAGTTACTCTTCCAGCGCCAGTAGCTTCTCCTGTCCCCAAAGAACTTTGGCAGGCTCAGGGGTGCGAGTGCGATCCTTGTTCCGAGTGATCCTTGAGAGACGGTAGACGTGCTCTGTCCTGCCCCAGTGCCATTGGGTCTCACACCATGCACTCCCCGAAGCTGCTGTGGCGTGCCTGAGGGGCCAGGGTTGAACACAGGACTCCCCAGACCCTGGGATAGTGGTCCCTGTGGTGGCGTTTGAAGGGCTGCAATGGAAGGACTTGCAGTTCGTGCCCCATCAGGGCCACCTTCATCAATAACCTGGTTACTACTGCCCACGGCAGCACTTTGGCATGCAGCAGGGTGCACGTCAGCATCTAGCGCACCATTGGCATGCGCTGGGCCGTTATCTCCACCGGTTGCAGCGGGCCCACTGGGCTTGCTAGTGCTGGTCGTCACTCCACCGCCACCTTCATCACTGCCTTCACCTTCACTGCTAGTCCTGCTTCTAAGGTCGCCACACCCAGATCTCCTTCTTCCATCTAGGGTGGTAGCCAGCACCACCATAGCCACTCTCCTCCTTTCCTTGAGCTCTTTGAGACAAGCTCGCATAACGTTCACTTCTTTCTCTGGAACATAACGATCCCACTTGTGCACAAACTCACTCAGAGCTTCCTCTCTGCCTTCCACAGCAGGGAGCATTGAGTCAAACTGATCCTGTTTTATTTGACCCATTTTGAGCGCCTCCACCTGGCTAATCGCATCTTTTAGGTCAACTCTTAGACTGTCAAACTGACCTGATGCACAACGAGACCATGACGCTTCCTTTAGCTTCATTTCTGTGGTCTGGTATTTTGAGCGGCAGTCCTGCAGCTTCTTCTCCACCTCAGCTATTTCTGCTGCAAGCCCACTTGCATCTTCTTCTTCCATAGCAGCGATGTAATCAAAACTGCTATCACAAACCTCACTATAACTGTCTTTGAGTGTCCTACTTTCAGACATGAGGTCATGTTCAGTCAGAAGGTCAATGTTAAAGGCAATGGAATTGGCTTTCCTAGTGAAAGCTGCTTGCGCAGAGGACCGCCTTTTCTTCAATTCTTCTCGGCATGCCATACTGACTTTTTCCTTCTTGTTTATTACCGGCGTTATTCCTTTGCCCTCAACAAAGATGGCGGCGACCCACTTCCGGTCACTTAACGGCTAGTAACTGAATTAAAAGTTCGTTTTCGGCGGCTGGCTTATCCTACGCCAGCGCCCTAATAGTCCCAGCAAAGAAATCCACACACAGTCTCTCACGTACGAGGGTTTAACGGTGTTTTGAGAACGAAGTCACGTCGATCGGCCGTGACGATCGGCCGGGCTCCGTCTAATTGCTGGATTCTCCGTAGTCGACACAGACCCTCCTCCGCTTCTCCGTCGCGGGGGCTGGCTAAGTGTTGATTACTGTACGGTTTTTACTAAGCTAACTACCTTTAATTTAGCAAACTCCCACCGTAAGGGTGTGTTTTGACTGATGAAACTGTGTCGTACTCAGGCTCGGACATCTGGTTGCTGTATTTTACAAGTTTTATTGCACAAGCACAAACTAACACCAGTACAGTAACCGTGCCTTTACAGAAGCCAGGTAATCAACTGAAAGACACAAAATAAAACAACCACACAACATTAACAAAGCAACACTATTAATGACAGTACAGTTTAGTAACAGTCATATTTATAAGCTTTAACACGTTACTAAGTTAACACAGAAACTCACCAGCTCGGCTTCATCAGTCATAACGGCAATCTCAATGAAAAGAAGATCCGGCAGGTAGGATCTATGAACAGCCGTTAACACGTACCATTCCAAGCTTAGATAAATCACTCCGTCGTAAATAAATTTGACATTTAAAGCAAATATGAGTCTGGCTGATAATAAATCACAACAAACAAATTGGCATGTTAGTAATATGGGAAAACACACACAGGTTCAGATGTTTTGCGCAAATGGAAGAAAGCAGTCTTACATATTTGTTTAATATGTGCGTTGAAGGACATGTCCTGGTCAAAAATGACTCCAAGGTTCCTCACAGCGTTACTGGAGGCCAAGGTAATGCCATCCAGAGTAAGAATCTGGTTAGATACCATATTTCTAAGATTTTCAGGGCCGAGTACAATAACCTCAGTTTTATCTGAATTAAGAAGCAGAAAGTTAGCGGCCATCCAGGTCTTTATGTCTTTAAGACATTCCTGCAGTTTAACTAATTGGTGTGGAGGCAGATGAGGACCCAAATGCAAAATTCACGGACACAAAAAGCTGAACTCAAAATCACTGCTTTATGGCTTCACAAAGAAACAGAACTAAACTGGGAATGCTAACTGGGGACCGAGGGAACACAGAAAAGCACACAGGTTCGGTGAGGAGACATTGACGACGCGACACCGAACTGAGGGAGACATGCACATAAATACACAGAGGGTTAACGAGGGAAGTGGGAGCACACGGGAAACACAGCTGACACAGATAATCATAACAAGACAGGGCAGGAGTAACACAACACTGACGGGAGACTGTCAAAGTAAAACAGGAAGTACACAGAGGTGCAGACAGGAGAGAGAGAGAGACAGGAGAGCACAGGCATAGCGGGCTGGGGAAACATGGAATAAAACACAAGGAGGGGAGACGAGGGCTCACAGATACAGAGGGGCACACAGGGGGTAAAAGTCACAAGAGGAAATCAAATAAGGAACAACTTAACAGAGCAACCCAGGAACCATGGCCTAAATAAAGAACAAAATACAAAAATACATGAAAACAAAGAATACAGGGCCAACATGGCCCAGGATCATGCCATCCAGGTCTTTATGTCTTTAAGACATTCCTGCAGTTTAACTAATTGGTGTGTGTCATCTGGCTTCATGGACAGATAGAGCTGGGTGTCATCAGCATAGCAGTGAAAATGTATGCTATGTCTTCTAATGATGCTGCCTAAGGGAAGCATGTATAATGTAAACAGAATTGGTCCTAGCACTGAACCCTGTGGAACTCCATAATTAACCTCAGTGTGTGAAGAGGACTCTCCATTTACATGCACAAACTGGAGTCTATTAGATAGATATGATACAAACCACTGCAGTGCAGTACCTGTAATACCTACAGCATGTTCTAATCGCTCTAATAGGATATTATGGTCGACAGTATCGAACGCTGCACTGAGGTCTAGCAGGACAAGCACAGAGATGAGTCCACTGTCAGAGGCCATAAGAAGATCATTTGTAACCTTCACTAAAGCTGTTTCTGTGCTGTGCTGAGCTCTGAAACCTGACTGAAACTCTTCAAATAAACCATTCCTCTGCAGATGATCTGTTAGCTGTTTGACAACTACTCTTTCAAGGATGTTTGATATAAAGGAAGGTTGGAGATTGGCCTATAATTAGCTAAGACTGCTGGGTCTAGAGATGCTTTTTGAGTAAAGGTTTAACTACAGCCAGCTTGAAGGCCTGTGGTACATAGCCGATCATTAGAGATAGGTTGATCATATTTAAGATCGAAGAATTAATTAATGGCAGGACTTCTTTGAGCAGTTTTGTAGGAATGGGGTCTAAAAGACACGTTGATGGTTTGGAGGAAGTAATTATTGAAGTTAACTCAGAAAGATCAATTGGAGAAAAAGAGTCTAACTTAACATCAATGGTACTAAGAGTAGCTGTAGATAATATTACATCTGTGGGATGATTATTGGTAATTTTTTCTCTAATGATAAAAATTTTATTTGTGAAGAAGTTCATGAAGTCATTACTAGTTAACGTTAAAGGGATGGTTGGCTCAAAAGAGCTCTGACTGTTTGTCAGCCTGGCTACAGTGCTGAAGAGAAACCTGGGGTTGTTCTTATTTTCTTCAATCAGTGACGAATAGTAAGATGTTCTGGCTTTGCGGAGGGCTTTCTTATAAAGCAGCAAACTATTTCTCCAGGCTAAATGATGATCCTCTAGATTTGTGACACGCCATTTCCTCTCCAGATTACGAGTCATCTGCTTTAGGCTACGTGTTTGAGAATTATACCACGGAGTCAGGTACTTCTGATTTGAGACCTTAGTTTTCACAGGAGCTACAGTATCCAGAGTCGTACGTAGTGAGGAGGTGAAATTATTAACAAGATAATCGACCTCTGTTGGGGTAGCGTTCAGATAGCTGCTCTGCTCTGTGTTGGTACAGGGCATTGGAGATGATAACAGTGGGTGGATTATATTCTTAAACTTAGTTACAGCGCTTTCAGAAAGACATCTACTGTGATAAAGTCTACTCTTCACCGCTGTGTAATCAATTATTGTAAAAGTAAATGTTATCAGGAAATGATCAGACAGGAGAGGGTTTTCAGGAAACACTGTTAAATGTTCAGTTTCTATGCCATATGTTAAAATCACCCACAATAATTATTTAATCTGAGCTGAGCACTAAACCAGATAAAAAAAATCTAAGAAATTAGACAGAAACTCAGAGTAACGCCTACGTGAATGATAGAGAACTACAAATAAAACTGTTTTTTGGTTTTCCAGCTGGGGTGAACAAGGCTAAGAATCAGGCTTTCAAATGAATTAAAAGTCTGTCTGGATCTTTGGTTGATTAATAAGCTGGATCGGAAGATTGCTCCTTCACCCCCTCCTCAGCCTGTGCTTAGAGGATTCTGACAGTTAGTCTGACTCAGGGATGGTGAACGTTTAAAACGAACACAATCATCCTGCTGTACCCAGGTTTCTGTAAGGCAAAGGAAACCCATTTGTTTAGTTTGCACGACCAATCAAATATCAGTCCATGTACTAAAACCTTAACACTGTGTAGAGGTGGTCAGATTGTGATAAGAGCTTGAACCTTAGGTCTGGTGTATTTGGGTGGTTTATTGTATTTCATATTTTGAGGGCATAGCTCTGTAGACGCGTGTGTGCGTGTGTTTCCATGACGTATTAGTGGAGAACGAAGCACAGTGCTGCAGACTGTTCTCAACAGGCCAACGCAGCACATTAGCTCTGCACTGAGGGAGAGAGGAGGGAGGGCCGACAGGCAGTGGGGATGATAAGGAAAGGTGGAGAGAGAAATGGAAAGAATACTCGGTGTGAGAGAAAGAGAGAGAGAGAAAATGGGAGAGCACTAATGATCTGATGGTCTGCAGTCTTTTCCCTCCACATTCTGTGGATCTCAGCAAATACTTGTTCTGCTTCTGGCCTGTCTCTCTCCCTCTCCCTCTAGTTGGTGGTGGGGGGACAGTCTTGGAGAGTAACAGCGATAGAGAGAGAGAGGGAAGTGGGCGTGAGGCAGCATCATGTCCCTCCTGCTCTTCCTAATTGAGCCAAGCGTTTTAGTAGATTAAAAAAGTGTGGATGAAGCTGAGACAGAGAAAGACGATGAGAGCTTTATCACTTGCAACCTTAATAAAACTGCAACAAATAATTCAGAATTTTACATTGAACAGATTTAATGTTAATATGTTAGTTACAGCATCGCTAAAGTATTTAAAAACTATTGTGACCATAAAACTCCCTGGAACGTAAAAGCGCTAGAACGATCGTTCACAGAGTCTTCAGCAAACATACTCGGTGCCTCAAACGTCCACAGCATGGCCCCACCTATAGGACGCGATGTAACATCACACTGAGTTCTACAACCCAGTCAAAAACTATGGAATCACCACATTTGGAGAATGTTCATTCAACTTATTTATTTTGTATCAAACATTTTTGTAGCAACTATTTTTGTTTATTAATTGAACACGAAACATCCCTCAAAAATATTACTGTTATTAATTATACAGATTTTTTAGATCAAATAGAGGGAAACCAGTATGGAGTCACTCAATGCTGAGAAATAGTTATAGAATTACTGTAAAGATCTTCCAAATCTGCCATCAATATATTCAGACATGCATAGGCTTAGATTTTAAGAGGGACACGCCCATCGCAGTATGTAGAAAACACCATTTCAGGGTCGCTGGAGCCTTTCCCAACAGGTCGCCAGTCTGTCACAGGGCTAACACATAGAGACAAACAACCATTCACACTCAGAATTACCCCTATGGGCAATTTAGAATGACCAGTTAACCTAATTCCACTAACTGCATTTCTGTGGACTGTGGGAGGAAGCCAGACTACTGGGGAAGCCCACGCAAACATGAGGAGAACATGCAAACTCCACACAGAAAGGACCCAGCCGGGTGGTGGAATAAAACTCTGGACCTGCTTGCTGTGAGGCAACAGTGCTAATCGCTGCACCACTGCCCGTGTAGAAAACGTGCATTTCTCAAAGCCAGACGACATGAAAAAAGGCCAAAATATATACTGAAATAAACAACTGTTACCTTCCTTCAGAAATATTTAATTTTATTTCCAAAATGTGAATTATGACTTAACTCGATATGGTCAGTTACAAGTTATTAGTAAAGTTTTTATGTGAAGAGGAATACCCATTTTACCCCCACAAAATCCTCAGCAAAGTGTTTACTAAGGTCATAGATCAAGGGAACAAACGGATTTCTACTCAACCACACGTCTTTGACACCAGAATAGTCACCTCCTGCTGGCAGAAAGAACTCAGTGTTAGGGCACGTTAGCATTGGCTTTACTTTTCACAGTTGGAAGTTATGTCCATTGGGAATGGTGAGCATGGTGGTGCAGTGGTTAGCACTGTTGCCTCACCCTGCTTGGGCCTTTCTGTGTGGCGCTTGCATGTTCTCTCCAGGTAATCCGGCTTCCTCCCACAGTCCAAAGACGTGCAGTGGGTTTAGGGCAACCAGCGATTCCAAATTGCCCATAGCTGTAAATGTGAGAGTGAATGATTGTCTGTGTGTAAGCTCTGTGATGGATTGGTGATCTACCCCAATACTGAAACCTGAAATGAGGAACAGAAGGCTCCGTTTTATATGCAGTCTATGGATATTCATTCATCACATCAAAGAAAGAGACTGCTAACATGTGAATATTC